TTGACTGTCTAAGTTTTTGGTTGACTGTCTAAGTTTTTGGTTGACTTTCTAAGTTTTTGGTTGACTTTCTAAGTTTTTGGTTGACTTTCTAAGTTTTTGGTTGACTGTCTAAGTTTTTGGTTGACTTTCTAAGTTTTTGGTTGAACTCAAAAAAGATTTGAACTCAAACATAACAAACTAGGGTAGTGGCGCAGGGAGTAGAGAAGCCAAGCTTGTGATCGGAAGGTAGCCAGTTCAACTCCAGGTTGGTTTCCATGTTGCACGTGTGTTCACGTGTGTGATAGGTTAAATGCAGAGACTTAGAAGGAGACCTATTATGTAAAATTCACTTTTAAAAGTTTTTTTACTCAACTTTGGGTGTGTACTTCTTAAGAAAACAGTCCTAGGACCAAAAAATGCACCCAGGGGCATATTTACTGTAAGTAAATGTATTTTCATGTATATTAATGACAAGTTTTAAACATTTTGTGATGTCACAAGCCGTACGACAACCCACCAGAACCTGCGTTCAGCCCCTTACCTAGTAACCTCTGGGTGAAGCTCCTRCTCCTCCGTATAAAAAGCCGTCAAGGTGTTGTTGTGTAATGTGCAGCTCATTTTATAACAAGCCTCCTATAACAAGTCTCTACTCTACCCTAGTGGGTAGAGTGTTGGATCAGAGGGTGGGAGACTAGGGATCGAGACTGACATGGACACAAAGAGTTTAATTTTTTATTTTTGTTTATTATGAACACATTTTCTCATGTGCTTCTATTGTTTAGCTTATTAAAGCCTTGTTAAAGTCCATTTGCCAAAGTTGAGTAAAAAAACTTTTGAAAAGTGAATTTTACATGGTAGGTCTCTTTTAAGTCGCTGCATTTAACCTATCACACATGTGAACACGCGTGCAACATGGAGACCAACCTGGAGTTAAACCAGCTACCTTGGCTTCTCTACTCCCTGTGCCACTACCCTAGTTTGTGATGTCTGAGTTCAAATCTTTTTTGAGTTCAACCAAAAACTTAGACAGTCAACCAAAAAGTTAGACAGTCAATCAAAAACCTAGAAAGTCAACCAAAAACTTAGTCAACCAAAAAGTTAGACAGTCAATCAAAAACCTAGAAAGTCAACCAAAAACTTAGACAGTCAACCAAAAACCTAGAAAGTCAACCAAAAACTTAGACAGTCAACCAAAAAGTTAGACAGTCAACCAAAAGTTTGAGATTCAACCAAAAG